GTGATAATGATAAAGCTAGCAATACAAATAGAAGACATTCGTGTAGAGTTCAATGGAAATACCAAAATATAGCTAAGTAAAGGTAGGTGTTGGCATAAAATTATTTCCAATATGGGTTCATTGCGAATATGAAGTAAAGTACCAACTATTAGAATGATTATCATTATGATCATCTGTTTCATCCTGGAGGAAAATCAACTGTATTTACCGAAATAAATTTTTTTTTTTTCTTTTTTTTTTAAACGTGCCTTGTAGGATGTCTATGCAGTATGTTCAAAATGAACGGAATAGTTAGTGCTAAATGAAATGACTAACATAATCTCCTTTAGTTCTGTCTGCAGGTTCCATGGTATTATTGTATCAGGAGATCATTCATACAGACGATGATCCTTGCCCTAATCAGTGAGACTTAACAGCTATACTCCTTTAAGGAAGATACAAAGATTGATCACTTCTAGGTTAAATAATCTCAACCAAAGAGCTTGTGTCACGTAATATAATAATACGCACTCCTAGATTATGAGATAAAGGTCGCATAGTTTTGATCATCTATCTGAAAGGGCTATATTTCCATTTTTAATCAAAAACGTAATGGTTACTGTCTTACACACTATTTCCGTTCCATGATATATATTGTAAAGGCAAAATTCAGAAACATCGTTACAAATAAAACATTAGAGCTACCTCTCAAGCATGCAGTGGCCTGATGACAAGGATATGACGCAACAGGATAGGTAATTATATAGTGTGCCTTAACTTAATCAGATGTACGTATTGCAGACACATGCATCTATGCGACTGCTGCAGCCTCGTTTCCCCCGACCATATCTCTATGTTTCCAAGATGTTCGAATTAACAGCTAGCCTTTACCACGAAATGCCCAGGGACTCTCGACCCAATTTACCTGAGACTTTCCGTCTGTTGGCTATCTCGTACCACTTATACTGGGTGATACAGTTTTGTCAGCGATGCGTTTTTAATCGGAACAGACGTAGACACACTGAATTCGTGGCATCGAAATGCCATGGATGATTATGATGGCGAAGATGAAGAAAAACTATGAAGAAATCGAGAAGTGGTAAAGCTTAAAAAATATCTCGGCAGATCGTTGAAAGCGATCACTCTGATCCATCGTGTACTGTTCGCACGTCGTCACGTAACACAACAGATCTCCGTCCGCTCAATTATACTATTCTTCTATTGATCTGCTCTCCCATTTAATCGTTCCGGCTGAGTCTAGTCGATACCGTGCACAGTAGATTGGCTATGCTATATATATGTAGAGTGTATATGCCCCACTACCCTGCGCAACGTGGAGGAACACGTCTGTGGTTCACGCAGAGACGGGCTCTCGGTTCAGTAGATCCGCTCGAGATAGAACCCGCTGAGTGGTGGCTATTGCCAGTCTGATGTCGATCTAAAGAGACATACTAAAGCGAGATCCTAAAGAAACGTTTACGGTGATTCATTCAGCGCGTGGTTGCTTCGTGCGAACGCCGCTGCGGACAGGACGTTAGGAGGTCCCACAAAGCCTAAACGTGATGATTTTCAGACGCGCGACAGAACTGCTGCGCGCACTTCACGCATTCACGCAGACTTCTTACTGTAGTCCCAATAATCCCCTTTCTGTTTACACTGCGCCATATGTACACACTGCACTTACTGTGAAAGCTATGGCTTTTTTTTGCAGTAATCATTGACGAACTTATAAAATAGCCACTCTTTGATCTGGACCTTGCGGTACGGTCTGAGCCGAAATGAATTCAGACGGGTCCTCCGAGTTTAGCGCCCGGGTCCATTTGGCCGTTAGCATTTGACCACCTCTTGCATTCTCGGCTAATTTCTTCGTTCAAGTAAGTTCGTATGGGCGTTATTCTAAATCTAGGTTGTAACAGACGACGTTTTTCATAACACTGGGATGTATGTAGCCTATGACCTAAGGCTGAGGAGAAAGCGACAGCTCCAATAACGCTGCGCAGAAGCTTATTCTTCACATCCCGATCGTTTTTGCATGTTATAGACAGCAAACATGGTGTCCCCGCTCAAATGGCCAAGACATATAAGGCAATCTAAAATATACTGCATTAGGTTACTCTAAGTAATGTTCTTAGAAATCTACTCTAGTTTCACTTATGGTTGTTTCGTTTTCAACGAATAGCGACACGTTTATGCGGCTGATTAGTTGTAGGGAAGCTGACAGACCCCTTTCTTTGTTCCTTCCTTAGAATCGTCTCTTGGCAAAAAAAATACTAATCGTCCCAAGTGGTTTGCTTTATATATGCGCATGCAACCCAGTTGTTTAAAATAAGCTCACTAAACTTTCATTTAAATTAGTCCTATACGTTCCAACAATTCAAGGAACAATTCTGATTAAATGGGCATGAGCGATTTGCCGATTGCACAGAAAATAATAGGCGCTCAGACCCAAATCGATACAACCGATAGTCACACATTGACCAGGGCACAACACGCCTCACGTAATAAAGTATGGGGACGTAAAGATTGTTTCCATGTAGGATGCAGTACTGTTATTGAACGTCCACCGACTGCGCCTTCAAAGACGTACTCATTGAACATAATCGCCATCTTAATTAGTTTGCTTAATTGTTAGCTAAAGCGCAACGTCACCTGTACGGCCCATAATGTTATCCATCTGCTTTAAAGTGATGACTTTCAATTCAATTGTCTCTTGTTGTATTTGCCCATCATGCGGTATTATTTTATATATATATGTATATATATATATATATATATATACATATATATGTATATATATATGTATATAGCACAAGTAGAAAGCAGACAAGCGGCGAGCTTGTTCAATGTGCTGTGAAAGATATCCATCTACAACGTACTTGGTGTATAGCCTTGCATCATAGTGATGAACTTGTACTGAGAGATTTTTAGCACAATGTACATGACATACGGCCTAGCAGCAACAACATTTACTAACAATAAGCTAATATAAATTACTTTTTAATTTTTTCGAGGATTGATGGGTGACACAGATTTAAATTTAAGAACACATATCGCGCACATTGCCAGCTAATGTAGTTAAGTTTGTAACGATTTTTTGAATATTCGAAGTTCTATTAGGCTTTAAGTACGAGTACACTGATATGAAATTAGCTTAAGGAAGAATCATCCAATGATACGAAGATAAAGTGGAACTTCTCGTGTGCTAATCGATTTGAGGTTTATTATGATTTTATTTTTTTTCTTTGAAGGTTTTTCACGAAGTTAAATCTTTCTAGGCATGGCGTTGCCGCTTGATTTTTCCCCGTCAAGCCAAACCCGAACATCAAACCTAATGGTCAAAAAGATTTACTAAGATCGGCGACAGCGGCAGTACACTTGAGCTCGGGAAAGCGTTTTAAGCATTTGCAGATAGGTTTTTCGAATACGGGAAAAAGCTACGTAAAAATTGCACCAGTTGCCGGCCGTTGATGCCTGATACCATTATAGCAGGCGTATCTTATGTGTATTTTTGCCACCATTTATCTCGTGTCGTGATAGCTGCACAAAGTTGACGAACGGTTAGCCCCTAGCACTAGATATACCGCTGAATTGTCTCTATTGTATTTGGCTTCCGCCTCACGGGTAAGCATTGAGATGTCTGTAAATTTTAGGTTCGTAGTCTGATTTTTACGTCCGTCGTTGGTAACGGAACTGAGTTTACATAATATTATCGCATTCAAGCTTAATTTAGTGCCAATGTTTATGCTGTTATCAAAGATGAAGGTCATAGTTGTTACGTACGGGAAACAAACGAGTCTACCCTTGAACTAGACCATTCCTTCTGAGAGAATACTGCAAATACCTTTTTTCTTTAAAAAAAACTAGACCACTAAAAAACCGTTCAGCTCGTTGAGGGTCAAATGTCCTGGGGCAATAACTACTCAACACTATTCCTCTAACTACATCGAACAGAAGCAAGAGTATTTGTAGAACAAAATCAATAAGTGGGGAAAAGAAATATCTAAAATGCTTATTTTCTGGTTACTGACTCACGAATCAGCTATCTAACAGGGATTTTATAGTAGAGTTCGAAGCAGTCTTCTTCACTGTTTAGCAACATTATCGGTCTGCCCATGGTGGCAAGTTTGCGGTGGGCAATTTACGTTTCATTCTATCCAGAAATGACAGAATGATGAAATTCGATTCAATATTTTCCTCGCTATTTGGCGTGGATCTCCGAAACGATAGATTTCAGCACGTAGGGGTAATCAATGAAGCGCACACACGCATACGCTTTACCTGAAATATTGACGATGCAAATAATTATACATATCATAATACTAGTAAATATGTAGGCGTACATTAAGGCCTACTGTTTGTATTAGTCGTGATACGATTTAAAAAAAAGCGGGTTTGACGCATCATTAATGACACTTCGTGTACGTAACGCTGCAGGACTTCTATTCAGTGCAGTAATGAAGAGGATACCAACTGCATTCAGTGCTGAGGTCCGAGTTAGTCTGGAGCTGGTTTTAAGGGCCTCATCATCATATCTACTGAGTTCGTTCTCCCGTAATACTAGTCTTAGGGACGACTAGAAAACATAAAACAAAAATTACACCCGTGTTTCAACACAGTTCGTTATTAATCGCAGCTCGTCGTCTTTTCGTTATTAAGAACTAAATGCACGCGCACAAACGGCCGCTCGTCGTACGGACAACGACGTTGTCGTGATACTTCAGCTCAATAGTGCGCGATCTGCATTCAGCGTCGAGCCTCACATCTGCTTGTCTGCGTTATCGTCTGGTCTCCGAGTATAGTTATGGACTCGCCCGCCGCAACCAACCTAATTCCTGCATACACATATTACTTAACTCCTTGCCACTTACCACAGCATGAGATAGCGCCCTTTCCACGTGTGGTAACCGTCGATAGCTGCTGTTACGGTGTCTGTCGCTGCATGCTGTCTATCTACCTACCGCTCTTGTACTGAACTGCTGTGTTAGCAGTCGGCGAATCATCGTATCGCCCTTTCTCGACGTGCGCGGCTCACGGCGGGCTCTACGTCCTCGACCGTCGAGCCCCGTCAGTCCACGGGCCGGTCTCGCATTCGCTATCTCACGAGTCCGTCCACACGTCAGGTTGACTATTGTTCGAGGGAGTGAACTGTGAATGCCCCCCCTGTACATGTAGGCTACGCACGGATAGACAGGTTTTTTGCAACTGGAGTCGGTTCTGTTGATTGCTTCGTTCGTTTGCTGACTAATTAGTAGCCTAGAGGCGTCTTAGTGGTTTCGTGGGTCAATTGTCGATACCAGTTTTCTTTGTCTTGTTCCCGCTGCGGTAAAAGAGAGAGCCCCACCGTTGGCCGCACCTGAGTACTAGACCGAGCATTGGAAGTGCGAGAGACTTCACCGGAGACACAGGTTCGGCACTTACTCGTATGGCGCAAAGCAACAAGACGGCACAGCAGCGAAGGAAGAGTCGTACGTGGAGACAACCATCTAACAGTATTTGCGCTGCGGCTCTCTGAAAGGCTTGCGGCGAAACGCGCGAAGCAACGAGAACAAGAGGGAAAAGAAACAAAAGCAAGTTCCGCAACCTTTAATATTGTCGATTTCACTAGTCCTCTAGTTACTGTACAATAGTAAGAGTCGCTATCTGTTACGTATCGCCACCGCCACGGTCATCCTGGATCGCTGCGTAGCTCTTCACCGCTTTCTGCTCTGCGGCCTCTATCAGTCCTCTTGTTATAGCTAAGATTAACGATTTTTTTTGAAGACAAACGAAGCTTCGTCGCTCGAGTAACAGGAAAAAGGCAAGTTGGAGAAAGTCGAGAACCGGGGTAAAGCCCGTCGAACAAGCGGCGAACACCACTCGGATCGAGACGACCTAATAAATATATCAGTGGAAGTAAAACCGAATGCCTTGTAAAAGGGTGGAATCAATAGTACCAACTGTGTCAACTCTGTTAGTCAGCGGCAGAGCGGAGAAATTCAAGGAAACCACGACTGATCCCACACGAAGCTCTCCCGTCTTCCGATTTCTCCATACCCAGACAACTCAACTGTCCTACCAGTAGGTGTCTACTGCATTACTAGCCAACGTTAGCGTCTTCGGTATGTTTTCGGGTTTGTGAAAGATCCAAATGGATAGCCCAACGATAACGTTGTAGTCAAGATTAAGCGAATGTGGGTAGGCAACAAACTGTCTGACTATAGGAGGTATCTTTCGAACAATCGTACGACTGAAGCTACGAAGAAGATTAGCCTTTTTGTGCGCTCTTCGTGCACAACGAAAACTTACCTTATGAGTGTGTGACGCAACGCAATTTGTCATGGGTTGAATTCTGTGCAGGCGGTTAATGGCCAATACTCTGAGATAAGTTACGATACGAAAATTTCGTAGTCTCTACAAGCATCTCTTTGAAGACTCCCTGTAACCCGTGTTCTCTAGTGTGGGAGGAAATCCCTTGCTTCTCGCGAGACGCTATCGTAACGCCGATATCGGTGTCTGTTGACTGCCTGTTGAATACCCAGCCGACAGAGCATATAGATAAGAAGCAGTGTCGTCGATGCAAAAGCGAGATTTCCTGGCAACATCTTTTGCCGCTTTTTGTGGACGAAAAGCGCTGTTAAGCAGTTGTTGTAGCAGCAGCAAAACCGTTGCTTAAAGAAGAAACTTGCCATATGCTTCTACCCGTCGTCTATTACGTATGCATATACATAGTTATCGTCATGCATCTTAATTACAAATATAAGGCATCCGCTATTACCATATTCGACGTATGTCTCACGTCGATTAATTGACCTATTCTTAAGTAAGTTATCGTGTAGCACAGTGTCATCGAATGCGGTCTTCTGATCTGAAGAATTCCAAGCACGGCGTCCATCGAAAGCCGTTTATGCACAAATCACAGTTATCGCGGCTGCAGAGTGAAGAGTGCTTTTGTGATGCCGGCGCCTGTGCATCAGGTGTGATCTAAGATCGCGTATATCATGCGCCGTACGGATACGTCGCGTTTAGGAATTCTGTGCGTTTCATGCATGCGTCTCTGGTCAACGATAGCAAATCGCTTGTGATTTGGTGATGCTCTTGAACAGCTGTGACTGATTCTCCGAACTAAACGGTTATTTACCTGCTTTTACTTGACGGTACGGCTTTGCTGACCGACACACAAAAATAAAAACAAAACACTTAAGGTGAGCGCTTTACCATAGGAAGGACATTTTTTATTCTACGTACGAAAAAGTGCCCGCTAAACTAAGACGAAAGGTTCGCTTGTGACATTTAAGTTTGTGATACTCTATTAGAATGTAAATCCGATAGCACGACCGCAAAACTGAACACGGACTAGCTGAAGCGGGCCCTTGGCACTTATAAGCTAATTGTACTAAAATCGCTTCCCAGCAGTATGTAAATCACAGAATTTATCACAAACTATTGTACGGACATCTTGAAATAGTCAAACAAAAAGATACGAACAAATTTTCATATTGTGCTCCTACGATTATCTTCTAAGCTCTGTAGAGCTTTCCCTCAAAGAAAATTCGATACGACTGCTAAACACGCGCATTAGGTTCTATCAAAGAAAAGCCCCTGTCAGTCCATCCGGGTCGTTGTGAACTTCAACGATACCTCCAGAACCGCAGCGTAGTTTATATAACAGTTCACCTAGAAAGATATAACAAATGTACTTATTAATTGCAAATGATCTCAACGGAACACTATTTGAATAGGGTTAGAATATTTTTCAAACAGTCCTGACGGAATAGTCACGACTCTTCATCATGGCTGGTGCTAAATACTCGTTTCGCAAGCTAGAATGCGTACAGCTTACAGGGTAAGATCATTAAAAAGATGAGATAATTATCGAGCCTCGATTGTACCTGTGCTTCGCAACGCCATAACGCTTCACTTTGTCTTGATTACGTGGACTAATTGTTGTAATTGCGCTCCGTCTGAATAGTCGAAAGGAAGGTTAAATTGTGCTTAATACTGATTCAAGAGGTCAACTTTTGCTTAAAAGCTCGATATATATACATACATACATACATACATACAGCTTCTTTTATTTTGTATTCCACGGATTGATTCTTCCAAGCTCACTCTTTGTTTGTCATTAGGCTGTCCGTACTTTGGCCTGGCGCCTGGGTTAAGCCTTTGACTAAAGACGCCGGAAGTTGGCTATGCAAGCACCGCGACGCGATTTGAGGTAAATGAAATCTTTTCTTGCCTCGAAGTAACGAAGTACGTTATGTGTAGGTCGTTACGATCCAAACAGGAATATATACCCACCCTGGTGTCATAAATCAATTCGTCATGATTAATAGGTGTGATGTTACACTTCAGTGAGACTGCAAATTGTTCTGGTTATTTAATGTTATATCATTCAAGCTTAGATGTCCCTAAGTTATTGCTTGCAACAAAAGCAGTTCCAGTTGCTTCCGTTGAGCTGGGTTTATCTTACGATTGAAGTTAGGAAGCAACAGTAGTCAACTGCAATATCATAGTAATTAGTTCTATTCCCCCTATATATATATATATATATATATATGTATATATATATATATATATGTATATATATATATATATATATATATATATGTATATATGTGCGTGTGTGGGTAAGATGAGATAGTCTGCGAAAGTTAGAAAAGCAAAATGTACAAAAATCATTGCTAAAGATAAAGAGGGCTTAAATATACGATTCATTTGTAATTAGGTCACCCTAAGGCGCCTTTTGTACTTCTGTAATAATCCATTAAAAGCATACCACAAAATACTTTATTAATTAGTAGTGATAATATTAATAGTGAATAAAATTATCTAATTAATAAGTACAGAAACCATGGTGTTACATGTATACCAGCATTATAAGAGTATGAAGATACTATGCCTCCTGTTACGAATGTCCTGCGCTGCACTGGCCAGGCATATCGCCTTCTGCTTCAATAGATGAACCTGATAAAATACTGACTTTTCAGCTGTCAGAAACGATTGAATTACTTTCCTCTCTCTCTCTATATATATATATATATATATATATGTGTGTGTGTGTGTGTGTGTGTGTGTGTGTCCTGTATACCGCAGAATCGATGTGACGGCTCGCGGTACGTCCCATGGTGACAGCAACGGTGTTGTCGAGATGATTTCTTGATAATGGTTGATGATGATTGTGGTGGATGGAGGTGGTTGATGGCGCTATTTTTCGTGCCGAGACTCGCTCTTAACCAGGGAGCAGTTGGCAAGCGGCGACGGATATTTGGTTCCGCGGTAAAGGTTTAGTCTCCGGCGCGCCACGCTACGACATACGGCGCCACGCGGTGCTGAGCCCCGATGCCCTACTCTGGTTGTCGTTGGCGGCAACATTGCTGTTCCTGTTGCCATCAAAGTCAAAGATACCGTTTGTACAAGCTGATTACGTCCGTGGCTGCTTTCGTGTCCGATTACAATCACAATATTAGACACTGCTTGTGCTGGCGACGTTGCCGAGCTACTGGTCCGCGTGTCGGGAATGAGGACGGAGATAATACCGAAGAGAACGACAGTAAAAGTTACGTCAACATAAAACGCTTAATGCTAGCCTAATACGCGTTACTATATGCACATACGTGTTGATTACGTTGATAATGTCACAACCTTAATGGATGTTCTCGTATTGTCCAAGGGCAGAGGTAGGGGCACGAATACAGTTATAGATGTACCCAACAATGTGAGGCTTATTTAAAAGCATATTTTGAATAAGACCTGCTGACGGTCACAGCTGACAGATAGACAATGTTGATTGCAAGGTTTCTAGGACGTTTCTAGGACAAATAACCAAATGAGAAAGAGGTAAAACGACGAGAAAAAAAAACGTTTTGGAACATTGAATGAATTTTTTGGTAGACAAAGATATTTCGTTTGATGAGACAAAGAATGCAAAGAGCAAACTGAAGAGATTTGATTAAGTGATGTGGACATTGGGGATTTTCATTGTGGACGCAAAGCAAATGAACCGTTAGTTCTATCTATAATGACATGGGGTTTGCCATAACACGATCAAGTGAAAGCTGTACTTCTAGAATATGGAGTCGCTCGACGGTTATTATCTCGGTGATGATTTGAGTGGAAACGAGAAATAAAGATGCCATCTATAACTTGCGACCTTCGAAACTTATTCTAGAGATGCGTAGAAGTCTACGTAACTTGCCAATAACTAGCCAGTTAATAACAATATACTAAGGGTAACTTTTTTGCTTGTCCGTTGTACGGAACGCTTAGGAGAAATTTATTGGCGTCGTTAGTTAATCACTACTACTACTACTACTACTACTACTACTACTCGTCGCTACTTAATAACTAGTCTGATGAGAAATATAAAAATCGATTAAATATTTCGTAAATTTAATCCCACTCTAAATACCTATGTTAACAATAGGACAGCGTTTAATAAGGGTGCCAATATGAATTAAAGCGTACTTTTACAGAATAGTACAGCATTATTTTTTTTTTCTTTTTCTCTTTTTCACAGAGTTGATTTCGAATTGCGGCTGTTTAAGGATAAGTAAGCTGGCACAGTCTCCCTACCGTATTCAACCACTCACGTTATCATATCGCCCGTTAGCCAGCCGCACGGCTAATCTCGATTTGGGCAATGTATTATGACTTACAGAAAGCCATCGATTTTCTAAGATTAAACGCACTCACAAATAAGTTCGTGTCTATCTATAGGAATATGAAATTTTTAAAGCCTCGAAAAGATCGACAAACGGTAATTCGGTCAACTAACTGATTCTGTTGAAGATGCGGCCGGTATTAACGGAGCCGCCTGCGACGTAGTTTCAATCTCACTGGACGTCTCTCGAACGGCTAGCGGCATTTGACACGTGAGACATACGAAAAGCCCCTCAGGTATTCGGCATTCCAGTTCTCCGAACTCATCCTCACATTGTATGCCCCCTTTTATCTATCGTCCGTGACGTGAGACCTTCTATAAACGTTTGCTTTTCATTCCTTTTAGGCGATTAGCTAAGTAGGTGATTAAGAAGCGCTTAACAAACTGTCGACTGCCCATGTTTCGAGGATCGTGTTTACACTATATAGTGATATATATCTTGCTCAAAATAATAAGCCACAATGAACATTGATATACCATTGAAGCGAAATAGAAATTAGGTGAAGTCAACGTTATTTTGCTTTTTAACGTCTTCAGAATCACCTCTCGAACAGCATAGAGTATCTGTTCTGCCTAGAGCTATTTTTAGTTAAGGCGCAGATAAGGGGTCATCTGTTGTGAGTTACCGCTTTACGTAGACTCTAACCTGACAACATACGTTCCAGGTCGCGTACAAGCTTGTCTTTAAGAGGGGATGCATAGCAAATTATTTTCTGCGAATTTACAATTATTGTTGCAGTATGCAGTTCTCCGAAAGAGCGATCGCGTAATTCTCTTGAGTGACTGCAGCTGTTGCTCGTTCTATAGTGTTTGCCCTTTGTCCGAACAATGCGGCATTCATTAACTTATATGTATTATTATTAGGGAATAGCCCAACATAAGAAAACTTCGACGAAGACATCGGTGTCCGTTCAGGGACAAAAGAACAATGGATAAATTTGGATAATGAATATTATGGCAAGCTATAAATATGGTTGTGACTGCGTCTCAGTTATCGGTAGATGTAACTGTCAATTGTACGCCGTAACAATCGGCTAAATGCACTACAGGCTTTCGATTGGGCAGTTCGTCGGTCAGAGCTTCAGAGAGATTCAGGCCATCGTTCGGGGTCTATGGCATACTCACGAATCATACGATCTTAGTCGTTTGAGTCGTGAGTCTGCGTAAGGCTGCAGTCACATACGCAAACGGTGACAAGGATCTCTGTTTATCTTTGCCTCTTCCCATTATAGCATGCGGGCCGGTAACGTGCACGCTTGCCTTTCCTAAACCTTTCGATTGGCACTGAAGTTAGGTATTGAACGTCACATATGACAACCACGCCTTTCAGCGCGTGCAAGCGCTTGAGCTATCGCTGATCTAATTCCCAAATGTTGACGCCCGCGCCAACTCTCAAGCAAGTGTTACAGCAGTATTGGAGAAGTTCGTTCATCTTTTGACCCTGAATTAAAAAGCATTGAGGAACACGAAACCGGGTACATCAGGCTCGGAATCGAATTCCCCAAGCGCGGGTCCTTCTGCCGGGTTCGCCTAAACTCGGTT